ATTGGATTGAACATACACTGAGAAGACCATTTGGAGACATCACACGTCAGACCAGGCCAGATCCTTGAGTGGAATCCAAATGGGAAACGACGAGTTGGGGGTCCAAAGCAAGGGTAACATGGGTGATATGGTGTGAGGAAGAAATGAAAGGTACTTGGCAATCGTGGAGCCAGGTTGAAATGACTGTGGAGAAGAGAGTGCAATGGAGATGTGCTACTGAATCCCTGTGTTCTACTATTAACCTAAAGGACAGATAATAATATAATACACTGTCACCCATATGCGCTACAGCTGCAGCAACTAGTTGATATCAGTTAGCTTATTATACTGACATCATCGAAATACTGAATGATTTTATCCACTGTTGTAAAGACAAATTACATGCAATGGCGCATTTGTATATGAATTGTTCAGTTTGTTAAATAAAAAAAAGCACACCTTAAATTACAATATATTGGCATCAAGTATTTAAGTTGGTTATTAGAAGTAGAAGTAGACATTTGTGTTACTTAATTTGCATTTCATTGATTAACCTACATAGAAAACCAATCAACCAACCAACCAACCAAACCACGCAGTATATATGATAAGAAACATTCAATAGATCATAATCTATAACAAAAGTGATCATTTCGCTTAAAGCTATTAATTATTTCTCTGATTTGAATTTTACTCTTTGTTTTTTCTCTCTATAACTCCATGTAGTATTCACATTAGTTCCATATACAAACAAAAAATCTATGAGGAATAGTCTCTCAGTTACTCAGTTTTATCTTAGCATTAAACCAGAGAAAAACGTTTTGTAGGTGGAATGTGAAATAGTCTAGTTAGTTAGAGTGGTATGCTCTAATCATGTAGTCGAATGTGAAATCATACAGTTTCACGTTTAAAAGATGTCAGGTGAGTCAGATATGTAGTTATGGTAATTACAATGAGTGGGTGTCTGTTTAGACTTAAGAATACTGCAAGAAAACCAAATACCTTAGCCATAAATATGGTCTTTCTGCTAATAAATAGTATGGGTATTATTCTGTATGCACTAACTTGTATTGATAATGAGTTACTCAAGAGGTCATCCTACCAACTAATATAGTGGCTGATTAGTAGGATGTTCCCAGCGGAAATCCTCTTGACACTACAGTTGAACAGTTGGAAAATTACTCATTTTTGAGAAATATCAACGTGGATTGTGCAACGCATAGCTTATTTGGATTGGTTTACCGACCTATCCACTTCAGGTGATCTAAACTAATCCGGTTCTATGCACTGAATTTGTCCGGGTACGCGGCAGATGAACTCGGCACCAAATGAGCGAAACAACCCTCTGGTGCGTAGATCACTTTAATCACCCTGATGAAGTACTACAAATTAGCTTGAGTGGTCTCTAACTACTCAACTTATTGAGTAGTATAATACGCAACTAGGTTTCCCTATTTGACGATAAATACCAACTTACTAGACAAAATACCAAAACCTAATTGGTTATTTCAGGGGTTGGTAAAGTGACCTTGAAAATCATTTGTCGTTATCATTGTCAGCGGAATGAATTGGTACACTTTTGTTCTAGGCTGTACATTCTACCTGTCCATCTCTGTTTTCATTAGTTATGATGACGATTACTCGTCATAGTTATGCTTCCACCTGGGATCTTTTGAAATCCAGCTGTCATCATTTTATGTATAATACAGTAACTGATGGTTAAGGGCTATCAGAAAAATACTGGCCTCAAACTTCTTGAGGAAGGACAAAGAATTCCAAAAATTCCCAAACGTGGGAAAACTGTGACTTAAGTAGTCAGTTGTATGTTCTTCTGTCTGCAAGAATACAAATGCCTTAGTAACCGTCTTCAGTCAACTGTTGCAAGCAGTAAACATGCCCTAGGTTAATGTTTTTAAGATTCTCATTATTACGAAAATTCCCTAAGCATGCTGTTATTACCAGCCAACTATCTACAGATTTATTTGCTACACAAACAGCCTCTAATGGAAGTTGTATTTGTAGACTGTATATTTCTACTTGGAGAATAGGCTGAAACAGGTCAGGGTTTATTCAGCAAGAATATGCGAATGTATAATAGAATTAGTCTACAATATCAGCTGACTTAAGAATAAACGGTGAAGTGGCTGAGTATAATAATCATTTTAATCACTTATATGCTGCATCAATTCTAATGAGCTGGTTACCGATATAATTTAGGCATAGATTGAAAAGAAACACTAGATTATTTCATCTGTAATGCCACCGAGATATCTGACTGCCAGTCAGAAACTAGGCATACTGAGTAGCAGTGAGTTCCATTCTACTAAATGACTATGGACAATCACCCTGCAAGGTGAGAGGTTCGATATTTTAAAGCATATTTGATAAGGATGTCTTCGCAACAATAGATCACTTAATAAACAGTGTAAATTAGCTAGTGCGTTTTTGAATGTGGATCCAATGAGATGGTGAGAATGGCTCCTACGCACACCATACCGTCATGTAAACCTATGTGTGATGCTGATAATAGTTAAACTGATTTAGAGAAAACCCAGTAGAGGTGAGGCCCATTGGTTTAGGTAGTTGACTTTCAACCAGGTTGCTATGGGTTCGAACACCACTACACCCATTGATGTTTGCGCAACCATAAAATCTGAAGATATGGAGACGTGAAGAGCATCATTCCATGAAGTTGTTAGCACTTTTACTTGGAGAAGAGTACTGGTTTTGTCTGATGCCAATGAAATGTTAGTAATACTCTTCAGTTCCCTACCTGACTGTGTCATTTTATAATGATGGATAGTTTTCTTTCCATCTGATTAACTTCTTAAGATCATCAACGGGTATATAATGTAAGTTACCAGATAATAAATGTAAAAGTTTTTCTTCACTATTGACAAAAAGATGAGAAATCTTCACGTTGTTGCTATACAGAATAATGAAATGTACATGTTGTAAGTTTCACAGATTAAATTACATCGAATGTGTACTAAGTGAACACTTAACTGATGACTATTGTATTTACTTGTCAAAGATTTTTACTGAAACCTGTTTCACAACGATAACAATAACAAAAATATAAAGGTATCATAAAAAGTCACAAGATGATTGTATGTTGTTTTCTTTTGTAGTCACCCTGATTGTTTCCCTGTAGGTGGATTATGAATTAGAACAGCTAATTTAAATTTCGGATCTCGACTAACAGTTGCTTGTTACACACAGGTGTATAGATATTCACACACACACACAGACACAGGCGCAGAGATACCGGTGAGAACAGAATACAGATCCAGCTAAATATTATGTTATGTAATTCATTTATTGGTTAGAAGTTGATAGGACAGTGGTATGAATCAAATGAAATGACAACAACTGATATCCGTTCCACAAGAGATTGGTGTCATGCCTTAATGGCACAGTGGATAACGCTGTAGTGTTTGAAGCGATCAGTCCGCGGAATAACATCACTCATTAGGGTGCAGGTACACTCAGCTGATGAGTCTCAAATAAGACCAAAAGCACATCCTGGCTTCCGTTGCTAGTCACTTGCATGAATATGACATCATGAATATCTGGCAGTATCGATGCATTCGTATAGGAGCCCATTTGCCCAAAAAGGTTAAGCGATTCGACCCTGTATAGCACCGGGAATTTACAAGTATCATGACAACAACTAATACCTATTGCAGAAGAGGTGGCTATCGTGCCCCAGTGGTCTAGTGGACAAAACTTTGGTTCAAGTCTCAGTGGGAATAACACCACTCCCTGGAGTGCAGGTACGTCCAGTTGACGAGTCCTAAATAGGATGAAACGCGCATCTTAGATTCCGCTAATATTTACCAAGGTAAATATAAAAAATGAAGTTTAATTGACTTGAGTAGTGAAGATTGAACAATGAAGAAACTAATGACAAATAGTCATCCATTCCTTAAGCACATTATTCTTTGATAGGAAGTAAGTCAAGTATTATTGGTTTTATGAAGAACTGATTGCTTTATCAAGTTGGTTTTCATTATGATCCAGGAGCTTTAAGAGACCTGGCAGTAATAAATAATTATTTCATCTTATTTCAGTAGTTTTTTTTTAACAGCCAGTGGATATGTATCGTTACAAGCGACTTGGTTGACTCCAACGGTCAAAACTTTTGATTCTAATTTCAGGAAACCTAACTTTAAGTATACTATTGATGAGCATGAAATGGTTGGTCAAGTTGTGAATGTATGCAGAAAACAATTCATCATTTCATTTCTGTTAATTTCGTCGAAAAGAAGAACCCAGTACGCGAGTTTCGTCTTACCTTGAACTTGTCAGCCAGACGTACCTACACCTTAGTGAGTGATATTGTCCCGGGTGAGGCTCGAACCTCATATCCATCACTTCAATTTTCACTATAACATGGAGGCGCTATAGCCACTTCTTGTACAACGGGTATTAGTTATTACTATTTATTGACAAACTTGTAATTCTCCATTGTTTTATTGGATCGAATTGTTCGATCTCGATGGGTCGTATACAGATCCATCGATATTGGCTGAATGTTAATTTGTTTGGTTATCGGTTGCAGAAGAATTCAGGACTCGCGTTTCATCCTATATGGCAATATAGGTCAAACACTTCTATCCAATAAAACAACGGAGAATTACTTGCTTACCTATAAATAGTAATAATTAGTTTTTTGATAGAATTTATTTGCGCAGTTTTGTAGCGTTTCTGTGATCTGAAAAGAATTTTGTTGCTTGCCAACTTTTCATGCTCATCAGAATATGATAACCAGTATAATAACATTCTCAGTACCTATTGTTTTACAAACGAAATGATTCGACTTTACTGGAGACATCTTTTTTTAAAACCTGAATGGACTTTCTGTATAAATTCCACTTGGAGACTAGAAATGCTAATAGAACACCTACATGTAGTGCAGACCACTCGATTGGCTGGATGAAATAGAGTATTATGCAATAATACACCGGCTCAGTTTATTACACTTCGAAATACCATATCATTATTATTTTGTCTCTTAGGTTCCTGGTGGATCATAGGAATTCAGTAGCACGTCGCCATTGCACTCTCTTCTCCACAGTCATTTCAACCTGGCTCCACGATTGCCAAGTACCTTTCATTTCTTCCTCACACCATATCACCCATGTTACCCTTGCTTTGGACCCCCAACTCGTCGTTTCCCATTTGGATTCCACTCAAGGATCTGGCCTGGTCTGACGTGTGATGTCTCCAAATGGTCTTCTCAGTGTATGTTCAATCCAATCCATTTCTACTTTCTTCTGCATATTTTTTGGGCAATGGGTTGTTGGTTGGTTCGTTGCCAGCCAGCCGGAGTTCCTTTGTTGCTTATTCTTATTATTCTGGCCATCTGATCTTCAGCATCAAGCTTAGGCGGCAGCTGTTGATGAATGTTTGTAGTTTGTTGGAAATACTTTTAGTAACATGCCAAGTCTTTCAACAATCACATAGAGGTACTGACTTGACATTAGTAGTGTTGAAAATCTGGATCTTATTCACGCTTTTTTCTAGGTCGAGTGCAGTACAGTAGATCTCCATACTGATTATTTCAGATTATTGAAGGAAGTCCCGTCTTCGCTGCGCTGTCCTGCCACTCCTGCTAACTTGTTGGTTTTTGCCTGTAGATCTTCGTGTTTGTGCGACATTAGACATTAATGATCATCGGCGAAATGCAAGTCTTGTTCTGTGGTCTTTTCGTCATTCCAGACAGCGTATGCCCGTCTTCCCACTCCTCACAGTTTGCTGCATGATCCAGTCGACCACAGTCAGGAAGATCATTGGTGATAGTAGGCAGCCTTGTCTTACTCCTGTCTTCACTTCAAAGGCGTCACTAACCTTTCCATTGTGAATCAGTTGGCATGTGGCGTCTTCATATGGCTGTTGAATGAGGTTGATAAAGTATGTGACACTGAAACCATAGTGTTGAAGCAGCTGTCAGTCAAATTACTTCTTGATCGACGCTGTCAAAGGAATGCCTTTTTAAAATTGATGATGTCGAGGTAGAGTTGACTGCTATTCTATACTCTGTTCTATGATGATGCATAACGTAGCATTGCAATTTGATGCGCACATGGTTTGTCCTTCCTGAAGCCAGCCAGCCAGTCAGCCTGTTCCGGTAGTAATTTTGAATACTGCTCATTGTTTAGTCTTTCCAGGATGATGCGGCTTACTATTTTGCTTGGGATGGACAGGAGCATGGTTCCTCACCAGTTCTTGCAAAGACTTAGGTCTCCCTTCTTAGGAATTAGACAAGGTAGCCATTCTTCCAATTGGCAGGTAACTTTCCTTCCTTCTAAACATTCTGCAATAGTGGTGCGAGCGTGTCGGATGTTGTCTCTGCGTCTATTTCCAGTGCTTCCGGAGGAACGGTTAAGTTTGTGGTAAAAACGTAAGATGAAATGACAATGGTTGTCACAAGAGGTTTAAATCAGTGAAATATTGTATGATGATAACTCAGTCACTATGGTCGGTTTTAACCGGTTCCAGAGAAATCAGATAGCTGTCAAAAGGTAACCAGTATGCCTAAGGTACGCATGACAGGGTTGTATAATAGTCAGTGACATTCTATGCAATCATGCTTCCTAGCTCACAGAACCAATTTTCTATATAGTGGTGAAGCAGGTATCCTTCTGACAATGCAGACAGGGAAAACTGGCACACATCAGCTTGGCACTTTTTAACTGGGTGTCAGATTTCTTAGCAATCACCTTGTTGAAGAAAGTTTGACCACTCAGATAGGTCAAACGTTCGGTGCTTTCTTTTAGTCTCTTGTAGTCTCAACTTACCACACATGAAGGTCATCCTCAAAGTATTGGGTGACTGAAAAGTGCTGACTAAATGTTATTAAAGTTTTACTGCTCAATAAACTTGTTCATATTATCAACAGTCTTTAGTTCGGTAATCTAAATATAGTAGGCTTTGATTCACAAACACTATTGGCACAGACCTTAAGTAACCTAAAATGTTTTTATCTGCTCCATCAGCTTAATAAGCCCGCTTTAGTGGTGGACCAGATATTTCACATACTTAGCTGAATTAATGCAGAAGAAGTTGACAGATTCTCAAATATCACTTTAAATTGTGCAATTATGCTGAAGACTGCTCTTTCTTCTATGAATAGATTACATCAGCTTTACTTCTTGTGAGATAAGAGGTGATTAAATTAAGATGGCAAGTTGCAGTAGTAATACATTACCGAATTCATTTGTTACTAGGAATCAGATAGTTTCATATTATCTAGTTCTTAGTAGTGACATAATTCTATTGACTGCTTTGCTGTGTGGCCACTAAGTTAGCTGGCTCAGCATTGCGGTGCACTTTGATAGAGGTTAGTTGGTCGGAGGCAAACGACAGGAAACTCTTTTCAGTCTGTGTTTCGTGCTTGTTAGCACTCGTCAGAAAGGTGTATGTGTAACTTCATGAGAACTGATATCTCCTATGTGATTCGAATCCGTGTCAACCAGTGTTACAGTCAGTGACGTTACCACTAATCTATTCGGGTCTCGACTGACTGTATTACATTTTATCAAGGATATAATTTAATACTGAGGGAACTGTTGAATCATATTTACTCTAAAGCTCACTAACAAGTCACAACTGCTAAGATAATCGACTACGTTTTGTTTATTTTTTCAAAATCTACTTTCCTAACCGAAATACTGAAACCTGATTGGTTAATTCAGTAATTGCTAGAGTGGCGTCTAAAGACAGTTGTTTAAGAAACCCGTTTGAAATTGATAGTGGTATCAGGAGACAGTTAAGCTGTAGTGTATGCTTTGTGAGGTAGGATAATAGTGATCAAAGAATCCTGATCCAAGAAATTACTATCCATTTGGTGCAAGATGTGATAGGTTTAACTGCTATTCTACAAAGAATTTACTAGTGTGTTAATCGATAATTACTCAACTTCCACTTTTCATTATTTCTTCAGCTAATCACCATTTATTCATGACAAAAGATTATTTGTTCGGAATAGGTTTTGTTTGTTATATTTCTTTTCATTCTACTAGTTCATTCAGAAAAGCAACTAACTAAACATTACATTATAGCCAAGTAACTACTTCAACTTCTGTATTTACAAAACCTTATCATGGCTAATGAGTGATCTATCATAGAATAGACTGATCAATGTGAAAATGTTTCACATCTTCTGAGAAACTCAGCTTTGTGAGATGATTTTTTCCGGGTGTACTGCTAATAAGCTTGGCCGCAGATAAGTGAAATGGTAGCCACTCTTATCTAGCTAGTAAAGTCTCTAGATCAATGACTGTGAGTTTCTGACTACTCAAGTTGTTCAGTAGTAAATTGGATCTGTGATAAATTTAGATTTTCTTATCATTTAAACTTTATTGTTGTATCGTGTGCATTGTGATGGTGTATCAAACTCAGCGGACATGATGTACAGTTTTTGTGTAGTAAAAGAAAGTTTGAATTAACCTAGATCTGATGTGTCCCTATAACCTTGAGGCTTATTTTATTCAAAACAAATCGATATGCATTAAAATGAAATTTATTCTAATTCCGTATACAACGTAACACTCTAGCATTCCTCAATATAATTAGTAGTACTGAATATACACAGTAGAACACAATGAACAAAATATCATTGATTTTGTTTTGATCAAATCTACGTGCTTCATTTAGATTCATAGAGTATCATTTTGGCTCTTTTATACCAAATATGACAGAGTTGATCTAATGGCTGAGGATTGTAGCTCAGTTTTCAGTATATGCTTAGTTTGGCTTATTTTCTGAAACTGAATGTCATTGTACTGTTAAGTTAGATGGTATCATTGTCATCATATTTTTACCTTACTGTGAAGCTATTGTCTAGCTAAATATCAGGATAAAATGCAGGTAAGAAAGAGCTCTTTTCAGCGTAGATTTTGTAGTTGGCAGTACACGTCAGTTGATTTGTATACCAGATTCAAGAGATTCCTACTAAGTTTGACAATTAAATCCAACTTCTTTGGAGTAACACTCCTAAAGGCTGTTATGGAGTAGTTTTGAATAGCTCACACAAGACAGTTGTAATATGGTCCTAGTGTCATACTGTTTCTACTGATCAGCCTAACTGACGTACTGTAGTTCGAAGTAGATCAAACTGCAGTACACCGTAGCAGGATGCTTAGACTCGAAAAAGAAACCAATTACTATCTCAAACTTTAAAATTTATTATCGTTACGCCTAAAGACAACTAACAATTCAATACTAGCCGTAGATGAGATGTGATTTTCCCAACGAATAGTGATCTAGTATAGGAGTACGCTGCAACCATATCAATCAGTGGGAAGAATGAAGAGTTATATGATGAAAATATACTAGGTTAATCGCAAATTCTCATGGTATATAAGGTGCTGTTGTATGTATCCTCTCCTAGTACCTCACTTGGGATTTGTAGTAGTTTATCTACTAATCCCAGCTTAATGATAGGAAGTGAAGTGGTGGAATGTGTCGATCACTTCACTTACTTGAAAAGTTGCATCAACGCGAACGGACTGGTTGCTGACAAAATCTCAGCTCGGATACACAAGGCCCGTTTGACATTTGTCAAACCGCGTCATCTGTGGTGCCGACTGGTGACATATCCGACTATCTATCGAAGGATGAGTATACTGCACTGCTTCAGTCCTTTCTTTTTTGTTATATCACTGTGAGATGTGGTCGCTCACAGTTGAAGACATGAAGAAGTTACAGGGTTCCGATAATAGGTGTCTTCGTTGCATTGTTCTCGTTTTGTGGAGTCATTATGTGAACAATATTGAGGTCAGGCTTACGTTAGTAGGCAAGACAAGCAAGTCTATTGATGATGTTTTGAACCTTCAGTGACTGAGATGGTTTGGCTATGTACTGCACACTACTTCGAGGTGCTATGCTAGGGGAAGTTGGATTGTGATGAGAAAGAGTTTAGGGTGACCACACCAAGACCTGTCACCAGCCTATGAAGTCTCTGAATGTTTGTTTGAGCCATGTGAGAAGATGAAAAATGCTTGGCTGAGGTCATCAAAACAAAAGTATTCACTGGTTGAGGACTGTTGATGATATGGCTGAAAATCGGTCACAACGACGCAGATTAACTGACTCTTTGGCATCTTTTTAAGTTTGGATATTCGCACTAATATTCATCTTCAGATTGTTTATCATCTCACGCTACTTTATCTACTTTGATATCACTCCTTTTCTATTCACCTGTTCTTTATGTACTTCAGTGAAGTGTGGTAACTTCAGCCGATGCACTCCTGTACAAGGTTCTACCTTGATTTTGTCTGTCAGTCAGTCAGTCAGTCATTGTGTTAACGTTATAGCATTAAAAAAGCACAATGATTTACTCATTCAAATACTGACACTTTCGACCCTTAAAACTTTGAATGCTAAGACTTCTTTATTTATTAAGATGCTTTTCATTACTGATTTCCACAGTAATCATGGAAAATGCTAAACTTTTAATTCCTACTACTAATTTTTATTTTTATTACTATTTTAAACCTTGAAGGGCATTTTTAAGTGTTCCTTATTACAACAGCTAAAATCGATCATTGAAACACAAAAAAACTGAAAAATAGTTTACTATCAATTACTAGAAAGAAGATGGATTTTTTGAGTTACTAAAAAAGTGAAGATTAGAAAACCTAAAGAACAAAATTCTGAATGAATTTGTCCCTTTCTATAAATTTGGATAGTGTAGTTAGAAGGTGAAATTTATCTGAACAATTTGATTTAGTTGTATAGTATATTTTGAACAATCTGATAATACATTTACTAGTTAATTCAGTTTGTATGAAATCGAAATATGAGAGAAATAAATCGAAAAATTATGATAATAGGGAATTGAAATCAAGAAAGGAGGGAAAGAAAAGGAAGAATGATAGTTTTCCTGGTGAAGCTGTGGAATACACCCTCAAAAAATCCAGAAAAATCTTGTTTCGATTTTTTGAAACACACTGGAGTCACATTGAAACTTATTTATATGGTGAATAAATTAGATTGTGATCGATTTTCACAAGAAGTTCACAACAATATTCGACTGAATATTTATAAAATAATTGAGTTTGTTCTTAATCTCGGCCATACAATAAATTTTATCAAGGTAGATGTAGTGTAAGAACAAATTGTTTTTATGAACATCAAGGTGGTTTCATTTTTTCCGTAGCTATGGTTTCCGTGATTCTTGATACGCACCCCGGATTGTTTCTATATAAAATTTTGAAAGCTATTTGAGCATAAATTTTGTGATTACCATCTATAAATGAAGATAATTGTTCCCCACTTGAAGTTATTAAAGTTTCAGATCGTTCGAAATGTATTGTGCAAATCCATCTTATTGTTTTGACAAACCTCATCGTCTATTACACCATTTGATCGACAAACTTCAAAGTCGATAATGATGTCTGAAAAATACTTAATTATGGATAACATTTTTTGTTATTCTCTTACCTTCCTAATCTTGTTGATCCTTCCCTTCTATTCTGTTGCTAAACATATCCTATTGATGTGACGGACTTTTGTACAGCGTTTGGCATTATATTGTCCGTCACTCCAGTCACATGAAACCTATCCTTCATGTAACTGGGATGAAAACCATCTTGAGGCAATTCCGAAAATCATTCAAGTTCGCCTGAGATGAGTGAATTCATTTCGTTGCTTAATACTCTCTGATTCCTTTCAGTTCAGAACAGTTTGGTGAAGACATGTGGTGATAACTGAAGGTGAAATGGGAACTTAATCCTTAGCAGGAGTTCAACCAATGCCATTTCGGTTACTGACCCAGTGCTTTAACAACCGAACCAGGACACCTCCTTCATCCTGTTTAGGACATGTCAAGTGGAGTTAATCCCATCCTAGTGATTGTTTCTCCCACTGAGATTCGAACCTAGCACCCACCACCTCGAAGTTTAGTATATCATCCACAAACCTACAGCTACATCTTCTGCAGCGGGTACCATTCGATTGCTAGCCGCCACTGAGCGGAAAACATCATAATGAATCTTTAGACAATACTGAGATATATATTCCAGTACCCCATATGTCAAAATTGTTCAAATTACTTCTGTTCAGTGTTATAATAATCATCGAAAAACTACGATCTTTGATGGATAACTGATGGTTCCCATTGAACAATAGGTGACTGTCATGACCCAACGGCCTAATGAATAACCATCCGGGATTTGGAACGATAGGGGCTAGGCCCAAGTGTCAGTAGCGGCATCAGTCACTGGGATAAAGATACATTGAACTGGCAAGTTCCAACTAGGATTTAGCATGCATCCGGAAATCCGCTGCTGGTCACCATCAAGCGAATAACATCAAAAGGTAGTATTGGGATATCTGTTGAATTAGCCTATATGCTCAGAGTGATCAGTAACTTCGATCCAGTATAATAGTCAAAGATAAACTTTGAACATTAACCAACATGAAGAATTTTGCTCGATTTCAGTTCGTTCATCTTATTCATGCTATATAACCAGTCAAAATTTCTCATCCTGATCCAAATCAAGCTAAATTAGAAAGGAGAATTGTCGTTTTGATTGTTGGTATGACTATCTGAGATAACCGTAGTTTAGCAGACTGGTATTATTAACACCTATGACAATTCAATGTAAAGTGGAAAAACTTGATGCAAATAATTACCTCTAAAATGAAATAAACTATTCGATAGGTTTATCATGGTGCAAATCAGTTATGATTAATGAGTGTTTAACAAAAACAAGTCAATTAGCACTATATAACATCCTTAAATCAATCAACTTAATTGGAAATCCCACTATTGGCTCTTCTTTTGAGTGAATGGTTGTCGTAAAAAGTCGAACGCATTGCTTTTATATTGAGCTGAGACAAACAACTGATGAGATTTAATTGATCAGCAGATTAAAGCCAATCTCGTAACTGATAGCTGATCAGTAGATCCGCTTGAAACTTTTTCTGATCAACTAATCAAAACAGAGAAGAAGATTTTTCTGATGAAATGAATTGATTTTATTTTATATCAGCAGTTGAGGACTCTAGGTGAGATTGTTGAAAATAAGTCACAGTGGCGCAGATGCAATGATGTTTTCCAAAGTTGATATGTTTTGACTAACCTTCTTTTTTGAATTCTGCATACTCCGTCATACCTTAGTCTACATTGATATCAGTCTTACCGATTCACTTGTTGTTTGTATAGTGTGTGGCAGCTTAGACCCATCCACTTCTATGTCAGTCTCGACGTTGAATTCGCCTCTATATCTGTATGCATCTTCTCATCAAACACCAACACCAATTGCAACAATTGGTAGAGTACCAAACCGGAAGCCTGATGGTCACTGGTTCGAATCCCGCCGTAGCCCAGATTTTCAATTCGCCGTCAATCATCATCCAGAGTCAGTTCATGTCTACTAAAACACGGCTATCTCGGATAGTCAAACTGATAATTCTTTTTTTATCAAAACAAAACGTCACACATTAATGATAAGCAGTAGACAGACAACTCAGTTAACCAGTCACTCTAGAGATTCCAGAATGTAAAATCGAAAACTGATGCCCCATTTTACTGTCACAGGTCGTTTTTCCGTTTTATTTTACTAATAATTGAAATCACATCATCTAACCAATCAGATTGGTGGAATAATGCAGACTTTAATTATATAAAATGCTAAAGTATTCCTCTGTCAAAATGAGTAATGGTAGCAAAGCAATGCTTGATATTTTAATTAGAGAGGAATGCAAACCTCTGCATTGGAGAAGTTGCACGAACACTGTGTAAAAGTGTATCTGTGTGTGTGTGTGTGGTGTTTGAGTTTGTTTTAATCAAATTTGGTTTTAACTCCATGAACCAATGAATAGAAGTCTAATGAATTGACCAGTGAACTATATTATTAAATGAACAAATAACTTCAAGCATAACTTCACTTCTCAGCCTTATTTCGTATGTTTTGTATTACAGATAGTGATCACTTTCTCTGAATGGATTAGGATTAATTTGAGCAATAGTTTCCAGAAGTTGATTTATCTACCCAAAAAACTATGATGAAACTTTTACGACACCATACAAGTACTTGGTAACTATTTCCAAATCCATTGAAAACACAATAATTACAATCATTATTTAACATTATGTCTTATGGATTTAATTTAAATGAAAGTGTATACAGTTCAGATTCGTATAAAACAAATGGTAGTTCAACGCCAAATCGTAAAACATCAAGACAAAATGCTTTTACAAAAAGTAGTCTACAACAGAATGGAGGAAGAAAAAAACAAAAATGTGGTCCTCTTATTTCAGTTAATGGAACTGGAGGTGGATCTGGTGAAAAAAGATTTGATGCACACTTTAAAGTCTTATTATTGGGTAATTCTGGTGTAGGAAAGACATCTATACTAAGAACACTTGTCGGTGAAACTTTCTATCAGACAACAATTTCGACAATTGGTAAATTTTATAGATTTTATTACTTGTCTTATTACTTACTATCAAGTAAATATGTATGTTTTATGAGTCTAGAAGTGACTAATGGTGTAAACAAGTGTATGATACTCACTATACATCATTTTATCTGCTCGCTAAATTCACCTACTTTGAGCACTTAGCTCAGATGAGTTGTGCCGAAAAAGTAATACCAGAACCGACTGTTCAGGTGCTCTGAAACATGTCAGTGGTTGGTGACACTCATTCTTGAATGTTTCTACCGCTTATAGCTTTAATTCGTGTCACAAGGGTCATAAATATGGTTTATGAAAGTTGTCCTAGCGTAAAACCGGTTTCAACACGGTATAGTGTTCATTCATCCGTACTTAATGAATTCACATAAATATGCCGATCTAGGTCTAAACAGCTGAAGGGTACTTTCCCTAAGTGTTGCACTTTGTAACCTAAGTTTGGTACTCTTAGAATAGTCATTGTGACAATATTTATTGTTCCCTGAGCTTGGAGTTTTGTTCTTGGACGTGTTGTCACCAGCTTAAGAGACTTGGTCAGCATTTACCTCATAAAAATGCCTGGTGATGAAACGTCCAACAACAAGAACATCAATCATTCCTCATCCTCATCCAGGGATAGAAAACAATAGTAAATGTACTGAGAGATATAGATACACCAGGAGCGTAATTCCCGTCAAGTGACAATTATGAAGCAAACTAGACTTCCAAAACGTTACATTCCATCGGAAAATATCAACTACGTTTTACAAATCCATGTTTACATGAGTATTTCACTGGATATTTACTGGATAACAGTTATCAGTCTTCAACGGAAGTCTTGAACGCCATAAAGTTACCAAAAGCAGCAGGACCAGAGAGAATTCCTCTAGAAGAACTGAAAACAGATGCAGACGCATCAGTGGATATGCTCACACCACTACTGCAAAAAGTTTTGAAAGGGAAGAAAGAAGGGCACTTGCCAATCGATTGGAAAAAGGGCTACCTTGTCAAACTTCCAAAGGAGAGTTGGTGACCTAAGTCTTTGCAAGAACTGGCTTGGAATCACGCTCCACCACTGTCCACCACAAGCAAAATATTAAACTGCATCATTCTGGAGAGACTAAAAAATGAAGTGCATTCAAATTTACGACCAGAAGAGGCTCGCTGGCTAGCTTCAGAAAGGACAAACCATGTGGAGATTAAATTGTAACGCTACGCTACACTATGCAACATCATAGAACACAGCATAGAATGGCAGTCAACTCAACCTCAACTTCATCGACTTTGAAGAGGCCTTCCTTCGATAGCGTCGATGGTGCCGAGAAGTAATTTGGCAGTCAGCTGCTTATACACTATGCATTTAGTGCCACAAACCATTATCAACCTCATTCAACAGCTATGTCAAGACGCCACATGCCAAGTGATTCACAATGAAAAGCTTAGTGATCCCTTTGAAGTGAAGTCGGAAGACAGGAGTAGTACAAAGTTGCTGCCTACTATCACTGATGATCTTCCTGACTGTGGTCGACTGAACTGGACTGATTCATGAAATAAACTGTGAGGAGCTGTGAGAAGAAGGGCATATGCTGTTTGATGGATGCGATGAAAAGACCTCAGAAGATATGGGATTTGCCGATGATGATCATTTATGTCTAATGTCGTACAAGCTTGAAGATCTACAGGTGAAAACTAACGAGATGGCAGAAGAGGCAGGACAAGGTAGCGAAGACGCGACTTCCTTCAGGTGAACGTAGAAAAGATACCCAACCAACAACAACAAGAAGAAGCACTAATCAGCATCAACGGAAGAAATCTGAAGGAAGTTGTCTCCTTCACCTATCTACCTACCTACCTAGGAAGCATCATTTTAAGATACAGGAGGTGGTACAGATGAGAATGTCAAAGCTAGGATGGAAAAGATAGCAAGACAAGGCTTCCTGCATTAATTTTAAATCAGTTTGGAGATCTTCTACATTCCACTCAGCATAGAGCGTGAACAAGATCAGTATTTTCAAGACTGGAGTCAGTCGAGTCAGTGCTTCTATGTGATGGTTGAGAGACTTGACGCGTTACGGAAAGCATTTCCAACAAACTCCAGACATACATCAACAGCTGCCACCTACGCTCACTCGATACTGAAAGATAGCCATCAGATGGCCAGAATAATCAGAATAAGGAAGAAGGAACTCTGGCTGGCTGGCTGGCAACAAACCAACCGGTGACCCATCGCCCAGCAAACATGCGGAAGAAATTGGAGATGGATTGGATTGGATTGGACATATACTGAGAAGACGGTTTGGGGACATTACGCGCCAGACGAGGCCAGGCCGTTGAGTGGAACCTAAATGGGGAGACGAGGAGTTATGTGTCGGAAGACAGCATGGACGGGGTGAAGTGAAGAAGAAATGAAAGCTACCGGGCAGTGGTGGAGCCAGGTTGAAAAGAGTGTAGAAAAGAGAGTGAAGTGGCGACTTTCTGCTGAGTCCCTATATTCCACTATGAACTCAATGGACAAATAATAATAATAATAATAATAATAATAATAAACAGTCGAACTTTGAAATCATTTACACGAATATACTAAGCACTGCTTTAGAAAATTACGAAATAACCTTGTTGATTATGTATAGTGTAACATAACACATTGACTTTTTTTAAGTAATCCACCTCATCCATTACAACTGTCAAGCTTTTTTTAAGACTTGGCAGTATGACATCTTCAGGTTGAGTTCAGCTACTGTTACCTTTGAGTTTAGTCCTTTCTCAAGAACTTTTACTTCAGCTGAGCCTAATTATCTGGCTAACAGATTGATTACCCACTTTGTTTGAGTGATGGTTGATGATAATTTATCGTTTGCATCTTCATTGTTCATTGTAGGGTAATTTTCTTCCACTAATTTGTTAGAGGTTTTTAATTTGATTTTTTCTGAATTTGTTAAAAGAAACTCCTAGTTCATAACCTCATTTGAATACTGTCTCCATCACTTTACATTTCTATTGAATGATGTCCTAGGGATGCCAGCTAGTTTCTTGTTAATCCTAAGGAGTTCTTCTTTGAGGCGCAGTTTACTAACTTGTTCTGTTGTTCTTCTCACTCCGTCTACTAGAATCGGTGCACACAAACGAACATGTTTAGGAATAATTTAGCTCTTTATTCATCGAATGTTAGAAATAGGATGGTTTATGCATCTTTGAAAGTCGTATGAGCATATTGACTTGTCATCAAACAGGAAGACTATAAGTTTTACCCTTACATTTATAGTATATCATGTTACTAGATATCTGGTATGTTTGTGAAGTAACAAGTTAGACGAATCAATTCACTGAAAATCGACACGGCTGTTATCATGAACCATTATACTAACGTGTTACCAACTAGTTATTTTGACCACCAGTGGTATCTCTTGCCTCCTTTGATCTATCATCCTACTATCCAATTATAATCCATATTATGATCTGATAAAATTGGAAATAATTGTGAGTTTTATTGGATTTTGAAGATATTTTAACATACAATCAAATAAATCACGTCTAAACCCTTTTAATCTAACATAATTTCAAGGTTGTTTTTTGAGTTGCCTACAGAGTTTTTAGATGATTTTGTTTACTTGCTTATGTGTAAAGTAAATACGATTTGACCTTGACAGAAAGGTGATGTTATGAAATTTACATATTTGTTCCAGTGTCACATGAATACTGAACTAACTTATAAATGACTAATTTAAACCTACTTTTCTGCTGAGCAAAAATTCTTTTTTTGTTGTTGTTTGAAAAAGCAATGAAAAACTGTAAATTTGTTGAAAACTGTTCACAGTATACAAATCTTATCGATGAAAATAGTAAATATCTGGATCGAGATGAAGATATTCAAATAAAATGAAATGCTAAGTATCAGGATCAGTACTAACACTCCCTAGATGTACATCTTTGTCTAAGAAAACAAGGGTATAAATGAGACAGCAACATGTTTTTGTATAGGAGAAGAGGTAAGTGAGCAGTTTTTAAGATGGATTCAAGTGTTTTTCCACCCTGCAAACATCGAACAACTATTGAACTCACTTCTAGATGGGGGAGATGTACTGTACATTATAATATTGATTGGTTTCAATCAGCACTGACAGATTCAATATGTATCCTTAATCTTCTCACTAAATGAACCTGGAATCAGCTGTTTAGTTGTTTTCATACTTATTTCATTAATGGCCGGTTATCTATGCAAACTTTTAAAATCTTGAGTATAAAATGTAAAATCTCAGGAATTACAAAACTTTAAATGATTTTCTTTGAAATATTGACGTTAATTACAATGTATTGCATCATCACGAAACTAAATAGAGAGTATTGAAGAGGTCAGCTAAGTATTTCATTCATTGGAAATTTCATGTTACTCATTTTCTCAAAAGCTTTTATTCTATAGAACCACTTCAGTTTGTCAAACCGTGAACAGGAACTAGTACTAGGCAGTTGTTCATTTTAGTTTTTGCCTGAGCAGTACTTATGTCGACGTTATACACCTGACTGACTTTACCAAATTGAATCTTCTTAATAACCATCCTACAAGTTAGATACTAAAGTTCCAGTTTGATAGTTCATATTTGGTAATTTATTCGAATTTCCTGACTGGGATTTCATTTTTACTCGCGAATTGATCAACTACCTTAGTCACGAGTTCTGAATAAAACTCTAGAAGCACCTTCTGGAAGCAAATCCATCAGGAGAAGTAAATTATTATTCAGGTAATTAGTTTACAAGATTTCCACTCATTTGACAATAGTCTACATTACACTAACTTGAAAAAGTATAAGAAACCATTACCAGTAGACGGCAAGTGAAGTTGTAGGTTTTTCCAGGTCCATACAAAACACTCAGATTTATTTACAGTGTGCAAACTGAACAGACAAGCTGCTTTACAGTGTAATTCGCTGAGTGGTGGTTAGTAAAGGAAGACAAGACACGCGTCCTATCCTGTCTGAGACTTTCTAGCTGGGTGTATATGCATCCTAGAGATTGATGTTCTTACTGAGACCTTACGCCAACAAAATACTGAATTCGATTAAACAAAGAGAGAAGGCCTTTATTCAAACTTTATTTATCATCAGTTTTTATTCTAATCTTACGTAAGACATTACCTAACTTTGATGAATTCACAATTTTAAATTTTTTCCGGAAATGTTTTCCTTTTTTGTGTCATAGGAATTGACTTGATCAAAAGGATATTCACTGTTGGAAATCATCGTATACAACTTGAAGTATGGTAAGTTGAATAAATAGAGACTCAATTGTGCTTTGTGTAGACACTCTAAACACACTTTAGTGTACAATTTTCTAAATTATTATGAAGTCGAATAAATGAAAATAGAATATATAATTTCGAATGCTTAAGCAGTGACATTCATTTGACATTTTTACATGAAGAGTACTGGTACTTTTTTGTCGTCTTTCAGGAATACTATTATACATGCTGATTTTTGTGAGCCGCCAAAATTAACAGTATTTCTTATAACTGTTTGATATTTATTATTTCCCGTTACAATGCTAAGTCGAGTTGCTCGACCTCTCTTAGCAGATGGGCTCCAATACTTAGGCTTCGATACTACTTGAATATTCCTCACGTTGCGGCTTTGATTGGTTGTAGCTAGCAGAGGAGTCAAGAAGAGGCGTTTCGTCCCATTTGGGACTAGTCAGCTAGATGTAATCGTATCCAAGCGAGTGGTGTTGTTCCCACTGAGACTCGAACCCAGTACCTACCACTTTAAACGCCAAACAGTTATCCACGAGGTCACTGAGGCACGACAACCAACGCTTGTGCAATGGATATCAGTTTCTATTCATTGATACTTATAATCTTCCCTTGTTATAGTGAGTCGAAACGCTCGACATCACTCACTGGGTGTTGTAGGTACATCCAGCTGATGGGTTCCGGATAGGACGAAACATGCTTCATGGATTCCATTGCTAGCCACTAATCAGAACCAAAAATTATTCCTTATATCTGAAGGTGCACGGTGACAGTTAGTGTGAATTTGTCTTGCTAAGACTAGTGAAAAAAAGATCCATGAATAATGTGAATATTTATTTGAATAGATGATGTTAATATTTTCAAAGGGTAATTTACAGAGAAGATAAAAAGTTATGGAATTTTTCATGAATAATTGCAATGAAAATAAAGCCTAAAGCATTTTTCTTTTCAATAATAAAATTCATTCTGATATAATGTAGGTCATCATTTAGTCTACTGGATTGTCATAATCCTAAGAAATGATTGAATAACCATAGGTCAGATCATTTGAATGAAAAGTTAAATTTTCATTAGTCATAAAGATAATGATTTAATTAAGAGTTAATTTGGTCGTAAGGTCTATCAACTATTGAGCTCTTCATCTTTTGATTGAATAGGCTACTTAGATGAGGTTTGAAGACAATCATTGATCTACAGGATAACCAATGACTACTTCTTTAACTTTTGAATAAAAGCAAAAGTGAACAGGTTTAAAGTATAAAATTGGCAGAATTTCGTTTTACGGATCTTCATCAGTTGCACATAACCTAAAATTTGCAAAAATATAACCCAAATTTTCAAATCTGTAGGCATGCAGACATTAAGTAGATTAAAAGTGTTGGAAAAGATGTTTTGAACCATTGATGATTGAAGTAAAATGAAAATCTGGCCAGCAGTCGAATCTTGGGTTCTGGGCCAGTAAGCTGCAGGTCTCTGGTTCAAATCCTATTGTTGCATAGATTTTCACTTCACCTTCAATTATAACCCAGTATCAGCACTTGTCTACCAAATCATGGCTATTTCATGCAGTCATACTGATAGATCTCGTACGTTCAAACTCAGTTGACAGCTGGAAGGCATGATGTACCTGTAATGGCATCAAATTATCAGGGTGAAGAAAGATGAATCACAGTCTCTTTTGGTGTATATAAGTCAGGTTTAAAACGTCTAATTGTAAAGGCCTCAGGCAAGCGTAATAACCTTGTCAATTTTTGTTGAATTATTATCTTGATGACTTTCTATCTAGTCTCCAGTTGACATCAGGTGTCCGGCTGGCTATTCGACTTGTAGATCTTTGCACTCTTCCAGGCACTAATTCCTTGGAACACGCTCTAAAATCAAGTGGGCGCCCTTCTGTCAGTCTTTTCATTACATTTGATTCTACAATTACGTGTGAATTAGTAAATACGGTTGAAAGGATGTGAGAAGGGTATTTATCTATTTCGACTTGACTCATTGATCACTTAGTAGTAAAGAGAAATTCATTGATATCAGCCTAGTTTCGTTTGAGTGCTCTCTTCATTGATTGACCTGTTTACTCTTTCTGTATTCCTCATCTCTTTTGAATGTTAGATGAATAAAAGTTGAGTTTTTCAAAACACTCGGTTGCTCTGTTTTTTCCCTAGTAGATAATTCCTTCATTTTATTCTTTGCACAGATCATTAATTATCTTATTCTGTTAATAAGGTTTTGGTTGAACTTCATTTTTAATTAGCAGGACAAAGCCTACTATAATTGAGGAAATAACCTCCTCATAAATTTTTATAATGTAAGGTTTTCTTGACTCCACCATAATTTTCGCATAGTAAACTTCATATACTGTTCGTACCAAACCCTCGAAGGCAGTTAACGACATGTCTCTATATCATCATCATTAACTTAGTTATGAAGTATCGGAATGTCTTTTTTTAAGAAGACAGGTGTATCTACAAGGAAATATCTTGCGAGACCAACATAAGTGCATGTATATGACGACATTATAGAGGAAAACTTTCCTTTGAAATAATTACTGTGGTCTGGTTTATTGCAAAGTGGATGCTATTCAATGATGAACGTGGGAAATTGAATAAAGATAGTTTCGCCGTTGTAGACCAGTGAAATGAGTTCACAAACATTGTATTCATTTAAGTTAACACAATAGTGTTTTTAATTAAACCATGCGTGTAGAGAATGCCGATGAATCAGAGTATATTAACAGAGCCTCCTGTCAAATGACTGAGGGTATAGGTTCATCTTAAGGAACAAGGGTAGTGGAAACATCCTTGAATATCAGGCAAATGGTTATTAAACACGCTCGGGAATCTCGTTCCTTTTCACACACTAAAGTTGTGTAATGCATTCTTGTACCACAGTTAACTCTTGACAATTACGAAGCAATTAGGAACCTGTCAACGATAATAATAGGGGCTATAGTGCATTCTGAATTGTTCTTTAAATTGAAAACATGTATACAGTGGTTACTGAACTAAATTTCATCAACCTCGATTAGTGTGTAATAGTTGTACTAGTCTTTTAGTGAGAGAAAACGGTCAACTCATATTCCATTGGACACAATACTATCTGTTAGCTGTTATCATCTTCTAATCAAAGTCAGCTTAAAGTTCTAAATTTCAATAGGGCATCATTTGGGACTGCATTCCACTTAAAGGAGATTGTCTATTTCAAGAGTACACGTAATTTTCCACCACGTACCGACATCAGCCAGGGGACTATCAGAAACCTAAAGATACAAAACATCCATTCATTCTTACTGAGGAGTTCTCAAAGGTGTACGTTAAGGATAGCCTGTGATGTGTAACTCAGAACTGATGATTATCGCTGCGATCACGTAACCAATCAATCCATGAATGAATTTTGACAACTACCGTAATTAACACACAAATTTATTTATTTATTCTCATTGTTCATAACAAACCAACTGATTGATTATAAGTCAAAGTTATTCCAGTCACTTCATCCTTTTTTACAGGGACACTGCAGGTCAAGAACAATACCACTCTATTGTATCTCTACACTTTCGAGAAGCTAAAGTAAGCAAGCAAAATAACCAGTTTTTGAAATTTTGAAGCTGTGCTTAATGATATGTGGATGATGACTCTTAGGATTACTTTGCAATGAACCAGTTTGTGCTTATAATTAAGATTACATGAATTATTGATTGTTTCTGGGAATTAAGTTCACGATCAGAACTGGGTATGTGATGTGACTGACTTATCCCCATCAAACTGGAATAAAATGTAATTCGTTTCTCTGTTCTTCATTGATCTAAGATACATAAAATTCTTTAACGATATTTATATTACTATACTTATAGACAATATGATAATCTTGTTTCTCAGGTAATCTTTAATAAAACTCCATATTATAGAACAAAACCATTGTTGGTTAAGTTAGCTAATTTTAATCGTTACCTTGGAAATCATTACAAAAACCGTTCTTTATTCTAAGAGGTATAAATTTATGCGAAAATACCAAAGGTTTCTAGAATCCTCCACTTTCAACATTCACGTTTGACAATCATACTGTTAAACAGAGGTTACTGTTTTGCGATACGAAAGGCTGTTAATTGGCATATGACTGCAACAATTTGACATAAGCCAATCAAACTTTTGGCACCTATAACTAGTACAAGAGAACTTCTGAAACACCTTAAAACTATATGAAGTGAACAACACAAATAATTTTCTAACTGAGACATATGTTTAAGCCTAATTTAGGTAGATCAAATTCACTATAGATAGTGTAAATTTGACAGTGAGAGTCAAGCAGAGTCTTGTTAACTGACAATGAAGTTTATTAAAATACGTGACCAATAAAAGCTCAGTTTTATTAAGCTTTAGTGGCGGTGAAACTTAGTAACGACCAATCAGGTTGCAGAGACAGCATATCAAAGTCATTCCTCTCTGATCGTTTACTATGTTGATGATGCTTCATCACCTGTTAATGAATTATTACAAAGATTACCCTATCGGTTGTTTGCAGAAAATTGGATTATTTGGCGAAGGTCTAAGTTAAGAACATGGTATGGTAATGGATAGTTTCATCTTTCTTTGTCCCAGTTGTTACAAGAGGGAATCTCCACGAAAAACATTGTTTTTAAATGAGTCTCATGTAACTCTCCAGAAAATAATGATTTAAGTGCTGCACTGCAACTCTGACTGATGTTAGTGAAGTGTCGTGTAGTGCGTTGGTATCAGCACTGCAGCGATATTAGCCCCTAAATAATCTGCAGGTTGGAGATATGGAGTTCACTAGAGTAGGTAAGTTGATGTAAATAAATGGACTTTTTGTTCAGGAAAGTAAATATAATCAAAAGAGACGGCTTAAACAAAACTGGGTAAGTTATATACTCATGTCTTGACGAATCATAGACTCCACGGATATACCATAGAAATACAAAGGACATTTTCAATGGGTGAAGCGTAGATTAGAAAAATCTATCCCACCAGTAATTGATAAAGATTAATAATAATAATAATAATAATAATAACTTTATTCTGAAAGATACTCCGAGATACTCTACAGAATTTTCAACATTTCAAATAACATCAGTTGGATAGAGACAGTGTATATGTATGTATAGCAAAATGAGATAAGCAGAAATTATATTATAAAAAAGATAAGAGTATTTACTCTATTTACAACTTTCTTGAAACTGTATAGTTAATTTAGGTTGACAATCCCATTAGAAATTAGGTTCATAATAAGTAAATAGTAAAGTGCTCATCATTAGCTAGTTTACTTTCAAAACCAGAAGTTGATTAGTTAGTTCATTTACAATACTTTCTTCATCTCACAGTAGACGAGCTAAATACGTAGGGTATTGTAGAGTTTTTATGTTTTGTAGTATGTGCATAAAGTTTTATGTACTTGCTCCTCATCTTTCCAGATAACCGACACGGTGAGCTTTGAGTGAAAAGAGTGTTGGTCATATGATACAATCACTCCTGCCAAATATTTACATGAGTTAATATGTTTATTCATAACTGTTTTTATTAGAAGGTTTAGACGTACACCACTAATTCCGCTGACAATCTTTGAAGTTCTACGCAACATAGCATGGTCCTTTTTCAGCACTTAGGGGAAAAGTAAAGGGGTACAATAGGGGAGACCAGGCAAGATGCAGGAGTCTATAAAACACAAGAGGAGAGGCTGAGTTACACCAGATACTCTCAGCTTCCTAATATATAGGTGGAAAATTCTTTTGGAGACTAGTAAGATGTGGGAGGACCAGGAAAGGTTAGAATAAAAACACACACCAAGATAAATCACACTTGTAACATTCTCTAATTCACAACTATCAATAAGACAGATAACTAAGCGGTTTACATAGCTTATGTTCACATCTGAAACTAAAGGTTATAGTCTGACAGTCTGAAGAATTAAGCATAAAACCATTCAGGGAGGACCATCATCTAACAACAGATAGGAAACCATTCAGTTGGAAACAATCTGTTGAAGAGGAGGCAGGTATGGAAACTGTTAAATCATCAGCATATTTTGAAATTGATACCAGCTGAAGATGGTAAGTCATGCAGAAAGAAAAAGAAAAGACGGGGGAAGGACGGCTCTTTGGGGAACACCAATCACAGTAAGCAATGAGGTGTAGCACTTCCCCCTGTGGACAGTATATTGTTTCCTTCCAGAGAAATAGATATGCAGCTAGCTGATTATCGAGGACTGAAGATTTGTCCCAGTTACCTTGTCTGGCAGAAGAGGTCTTGGAACAGAATCAAATACTGAAGTGTAGTCTGAAAAGGTACACCTGACATACCCGACATTTTTATCAAGATTATAAACGATATTGCGATATAAGAGAGTGGTTGCATTCTAAGTGCTTCTTCTGCTTTTATATGTAAATCGATTAGGGTCTCCGAAAGCCTTCAGTGAGGGTTCCAGAACCGGTATTATTAGCTTTTCCACTATTTTCAAGAACGGAGGGGTAACTGCAATCGGACAGAAGGTAGAATTGGGTATTGCAGTATACACAGGTGCTTAAAAGTCGTACATGCTGTTATCTGAAACGGATTAATCCCCTCAAGTTATCTTTCACAAAAGCACTATTTTGATCCATAAACTAAAGTGTACACAAGCAACGTTAAAAGTGCATAGATTTTCCTTAGAAAGTTTTTCAGACGTATAGCGGGATCACCAGGGAATATAATATGGTTTCATGTGGATGAATAGCAATAAACACAATGGCATATTTTCAAAGATGGTAGACATTTTGTAAGTCTAGATATTTTAATTCCTTATGTCATAAGCTCGATTCTGATTGGTCAGAGCATTTTCAAACCTTATCGGCTGTCACTGAAGTCTATTTGAACCAATAACCCGTTTAAAAAATGAAACTTATTTTGTCTTGCTTGAAGTGTGCTTGACTCTAGTTTATTTCAGGCTCATAGGACAAAAAGCCGAGATTCGCTTACACTTCATCCATCGATCGATTTATAATCCAGTCAAACATGGAAGAAGTCATGAACTTATCAGTTTTGTGTTAAATTTCCTGAGTTTTAACACAGAATGACGCAAGAAGGAATCACTAAAGTGACATCAGTTTCATCATGGTGACAGGTATGCCTTATTGTGGATTATCAATAAGCATGAAACATAGATGAAACGTGGCTTCTCTTTTCCATACAACGATGAAATACATTACACTACACTCTTTCATCATTTAATTTAGTACACGCATAGTAAAGTTGATTGATTAGTTTGGTTTATCACTTAACAACTACACTAGCTACTATTTGATAACCAATTTGTGTGGATTATGTTCTTATATGTCTGTATGATATTTTCTCATAATTTTGTCTTTTCTCTGTTGTTTGTTTTCTCTCTTTAATATCAGTGTTTTATCGTTGTCTACGATGTTACAGATTTGGAATCGTTTGAACAGATACGTAAATACTGGTTAAGATCTGTGGATGATGTAAGTGTTGGAAAACAGAAAATAGGCAAAGAACAAATAAATAATATTTCCTATATTTTCATTCTATAAACTTCTACTGTTGATATCACTTAGACCAGCAACCAGTTAAACTTTTGACCGAAAATGTGGGATATTATATAAATACTTTTCCTCCTGTCTCCGTATTCCTTAGTTGTTCCATATCAAAGACACCTTTAGTGAGTTAAATGAAGTTTACTAGGCTTGAAGAATACTCAGCCTATCGGAAAAAATACTTGAATGTGACATTGATAAGACAGTTTTATTTGAGTTGCTGTCTTTTCATAGTTCATGTCGTTGAGCTAAGAAATCCTAGTGTCCTATAAGGACATCTTCAATGTTATACCGTCGCCGTTTGCTGCTGTGAAAGTTATCCCATACTCTCTTTATTAGCTGAACCGAGCACGGTCGATGATTTACTAGTGGCTACACTAAGCCTTTTTATAAATCGAAATCAAAATGAGTACTGGTACTGGTTGCCACATTGTAAATATGATTGATAGGATTCGGTCTGCACTCGGGACTAGACAACATGAAATTGGTTGCACTCCCGTGACCAACCAATATATGTAAGCCAGTTTTACAGGAGGTCAGTTGCGACCAGAATAGCACAGTGGTAAAGTAACTGACTATATCACTGGGTGACGCGGGTTCGAGTCTGAGGCGGGACGTTAGTTCCGTCCAGGTTGCAGATACACCCTGCTGACGAGTGCAGAACAACACGGAACCTAGGTCCAGGGCTTCCTGCTGATTGCCTCCAACTAACTAACATGTACTGGTAAGTCTTTACTAGGTAACTATATCATAATATCAGGACTGGACGAATACATATGAGAGTTACAGGGTCAAAACTAATGGTGAACTCGAAACTACTTAAATGAGCTGTTTATAAGAGAAAAAGTAGTGTTATGTTTCATTATTAAACGACTGTCACTTCTGAGTGATTGTATCATATATGACAATAATTAATAATTGGGAGAGCACAGCTGTGGATGAGACTACAATATGGTACCTGTCAAAATACTTTAGACATAAAGATCTTACGAAAATCAGAAAAACCTATTAAAATGTATTACTTGACCATTCTTCCCTTACACTCAAACCTGAATACATGACCATTACAAATAATTTATATCCTGTTATTCATTTCGCCGATGGAATGTACTAAATACACTTAAGAGCGATTTAAAGCCTTCATAAATAAACCTTTTTTACAGAATGCATGGTTGGCTCGGTGATAGTGAGGTTAAAAAGGAAAGTCTCCGTCACTGTAAGATCGCGACTAGTACCTTCCAGGTTACCGATAAGGTCATCAATCAACCAATTCATCAAACCAGTAATCTTGGAGACTGTTGAATTTTATTTCTACCCTGATCATTGATTTCATTTCAGCTTCAGTTTGTGACGCTTAACTTTAAAGATATTTTCATCAGTCATCTAATCTCCGCTGAACATCAAATGCATTACTGTCTGGAGTTCATTAGTGACTTTTTTTGAGGTAGAAACTGTGATCTGTAAGGCCAAATAATTATGGTGTAAAGAAAAATGCTGGCTGATGTTATGAAATGATGAGTATATCGTATTTAGAACTGGTGGAAGTTAGAGAATGTGGACCATGAAATTGAAATAGTGGAGAATGGCACACGATAGAAAGGTCAGAGGCCAAACAGAGGAATGGCTAACATGAAAACCTATACGGTTAATGACACAACAATCAAAGGAAACAACCAGTCACAAACCAGTAGATCAGGGCAAGCTACTCAATCACTTGTGGGGAGATGTTGACGGCTGACTTCATACTGAAGTTAGCGTTGATGATGTCGTCTGGAAAGACAGTGAAAGCTTCACCAAGCTCACAGAACACAATGCAACCAAGACAAGGATCATGATATCCTTATCAGGGGAGTGAATGAGAACTTATCGTTTTATGGCTCAGCCCTTACGGGGTCGTGAGTGATCACTTCTAAGGTGTCTCAAACTAGGGCGAAAAAGTTATCCATTACTCATAGGTCCTGGGTGTTTCTTTAAATAATGTTAGTCCATAATGGAAACATTTTTGATTTCTACTTCATCAATTTCCTCATCGCATAAAGACAAGTTGGACAGGCCCCAATCATCTCAGATAGTCTTATCCGATTAGTTCCATAGTTTTAGTTGTAATGTTACCTATATATCTTCAGTTGTTTTAAGTAAACTATTCAAGTGACAACTCTTCTATATCGACCGTTAGTTAACCTTCAAATATCGTAAAATCTCCTGAAGAAGCAATAATAGTATTAGTCCTAGATCCAACGGCGAAATCCATCATTGATACAGAAACTATCTGATATCGAATTTTTATATATACATCTGTGTTTGGAAGGAAAAAGAATTGAATGGTACAGCTAATTGTCAAATATGTTAACAAAAGTTGTGAAATCAGTTTTTCGATACATTTTTTTTCTGTTATAGCAGATCTTTCCATATGATTTGATTCATTATTGTTGAAATCACACAATGACCTTGTAGTCTTACGCTTACCATTTGAAAGTCCTTATATGTTCAAGTTGCTAGACTATATTTATTGTATTCTTAATTATTATATTATTATTTGTCCCTTGGGTTGCTAATGGAACATAGGGCTTCAGTAGCACGTCTCCAGTGCACTCTGTTCTCTGAAATCTTTTCAACCTGGTTCCACGACAGCCCATAAACTCTCATTTCCTCCTCGCACGATCTCCTCCAAGTCACCCTCACCTCGGACGCCCAACTCGTCGCTTCCCATCGGGGTTCCACTCGAGTGCCTGGCCTGACGCGTGATGTCCACAGTCGGCCTTCCCAGTGTATGCCCAATCCATCTCCATTTCCACTTCCTTCTGCATATTTGTTGAGTGATAGGTTCTTGGTTGGTTCGTTACCGGAGTTCTTTATTGCTTATTCTTTCTGGCAATCCATCTGATCTTCAGTAACGAGCCAGTGTAGGCAGTTGTTGGTGAATGCCTGCAGTTTGTTGGAAATCACTTTCGCAACACGCCAAGTATCTGAACCATACAGGAGCACTGACTTGACGTTGGTGTTTAAAATCCGAATCTCGTTCCACATGCTGAGTGCAGATCTCCAACCTGGTTTCACGCTAATGAACGCCTGTCTTGCTGTCTTTCCGATCCTGGCTGGCTTTGACGTCCTCGTCTGTGCCTGTGCCGCCTGTAATTAGGACAGTGCTTCCTAGATAGGTGAAGGAGGCTACTTCCTTTAAGTTTTTCCCGTTGCCGGTGATTGCAGCTTGTTGTTGTTGTTGTTGGTGGTGGTGGCGTTGGTTGGGTATCTTCATCACCTCTGTCTTCTCTATATTCACTTGAATTTCAGTCTTCGCTGCTCTGCCTCTTCTGTCAACTTGTTAGTTTTCGCCTGTAGATCTTCCAGTTTGTGCAACATCAGACACAAGTCATCGGTGAAATCCAAGTCTTCTAGGTTCTTTTCCGTGGTCCAGCCAGCATATACCCCTCTTCTCGCTCCTCACAGTTTGCTGCATGATGCAGTCCGGTCGACTACAATCAGGAATATCATGGGTGATAGTGGACAGTCTTGTTTTACTCCTGTCTTCACTGCCAAGGTATCACTGAGCTTCCCATTGTGAATTACTTGGCATGTGGAGTCTATATTCACTTCAAGCATTCTTAATAGTAAGACGTAAATTGTGATAGAATATAGTCATTTGCTGTTACTTGTCAAGCTTTGCAGAAGTATTTATCCTACTCATTAGTAGTATAATCTCTGCTACCCAATTTTTAAGGTGTATTGACAAAGAAAAGGTAACACTGAATTCATCATTTGTTGATGGAGGCGATTTACTCTTAGATACAGTTGTTTTTGTTTACTTTGTAACTCACATATGGAATAAATTAAAATGCTGGTTAGTGTTTTGAATGCATGTACCTAAAAACTCACCATTCTTGTTATATAAATGGAGTTCACTGTTGAAAGAATTATCCTAGAGGACAATTCTTCGGAGAGGTATTTGGTGTAGGTTTAGTTAGAAACTGTTATCTACCTTTCCCGCACTACTTAAATCCCAGGTCAAAGACTGTAATGATTCCTATCACATCTCACTGTGCACAGACTGAGTTTTCTGTCGATTCGACTGTAGTTTAGTTAACATTAGATGTTAACGAGATTAATGCTGAACTGGGGGATTTGCGCCATTTTGGTAAGTAGGATTGCGCATGAATGGATAGACAGAGAGAACAGAGTAGAACCTCTCACGTGTATGTAGCAGTTTCAGTTGCCAAAATTCATAACAGCGAAGGATGAAAATCAAAAAGTTGAAATATTTTCTAACAGAATATTGGCTTCTTTTATAGTTTCTAAAACTCAGTAACCTGTTTTTTATTAACACTTTCTTCCATTATCTAATATCTTATGCAGTGTATTATTTGCAGATAAGATGATTCTGATGTAAATACCTCTGTTATATTATATTCCTTACAGAAGTTTCATGATCTTCCTTAAGGTAGACAGTATCTTCATAATTCTTTACCTGTATCTCTGGTAGAACCTTAGCTTTTAACCCACCCCTATCTAGACTTCCATTGTATTGATTCGAGGTGCAGACACAAATTAGACCAAAGTTTATTTTGTCCCATATACCTTGATTTTCTTAAATTCCTGAAATTTAGTTGTCTACACCACGACATACTTGATAGCATGTATGCCTAACAGAATTCATTGCTAACAGTAATTATTCTCTTATTGTGGAATAATTAGTCAAATACCTAGACATACTGTGTGTAAGACTGTTTTCACGTATATGTATTTTGTTTCAGACGCTAAAAAAATGTGCACAGTAACACATGCATTCATCTATCTACCTATTTACTTCGTTTTTCTAATACTTAACCAATGGCTTCCAAACTATTGTCTACTCACTTGTTTCATCATTTCAACCTTCTTCAAGTATCTACTAGTGTCAAAACAACAAGTGATACCTATTGCATAAGAGGTGG